TTTACCTTCTAACTGCCATGTCCTATGACCGCTATGTAGCCATCTGCAAGCCCCTGCATTATACAACTATCATGAACAAAAGAGTCTGCATATTGCTTGTCTTTTGTGCTTGGCTGGCAGGATTCTTAAATATCTTCCCACCAGTTATTCTTTTTCTCCAGTTAGATTACTGTGGCTCCAATGTCATCGATCACTTTGCTTGTGACTATTTCCCCCTCTTGCAATTATCCTGCTCAGACACCTGGCTCCTGGAAGTGATTGGTTTTTACTCTGCAATAGTGATTCTGCTTTTCACTTTGGCGTTAATAATTCTATCCTACACGTTCATCATTAGGACAATTCTAAGACTGCCTTCTGCCAGCCAGAGAAAAAAGGCATTTTCTACATGCTCCTCTCACATGATTGTCATTTCCATCTCTTATGGAAGCTGCATATTCATGTATGCCAACCCTTCAGCAAAAGAAAAGGCATCGTTGACCAAAGGAGTAGCTATTCTGAATACTTCGGTTGCTCCTATGATGAATCCGTTTATATATACCCTGAGGAACCAGCAAGTAAAGCAAGCTTTTAAAGATGCTTTTCAAAAGGTTATGTTTTTCTCTGGTAAGTGAATGTACTAGTAACATTAAAAGGATAAAGTTCTTATCAATGACTTCTATTATTCATACTCTCTCAAAACACTCTTTGCTTCATTACAGTTATTTTCCCTTTGTTAGTTCCATATTAAAATTTCTCAAATGTTCTACTCAATAAATTTGAAAAAGCTAGATATTGCTTCAGAGTATTCTGCCAAATATTCTATTCAAATGTACTTGGATGAAGTAAAAAAAAGAATCTAATGATTATGTTTTAAGTAGAAGCCTCTTTTGAAGAGATATAGGGCATTTAATTGGAAAGAATGTCAGGATAGATGTGAAATTCTGAACTTACCATTCTTAGCAGGTAATAGAAATGAAACTTTTGATTTTATTTGGCATTTGCATGAAATCAATTGTCACCATCACCAGGAAGTTGGGAGCAAAATATAAACATCTATATAAATATATTAAATGATTGTAACTTATATATATTAAAATTCTTATCCTATATAATACAAGTGTAGTATGCAAATTGTCCCCTC